TAAATTTGACTTTGAAACCATGCAGTGTTTTTACATTATAATGAAACAACAAGACAAGAATTCAAAACACAATGAAAATATTGAAGCTAATTGGGTATGGAGCTGATGACAAAACTCTACTCACAGCAATTATATAAGTGAAATTGAAAACTAATAATTTAGAGCATTTATTTAGTAGAGGTAATGTACTGGGTTCAAGCCATAATATCGCCAAATACTACATGCTCCACAGATGTATTACTACATATTTACTCAACTTACTCAATTACTACAAATTACTCACCTAGTAATTTGGAAATGCATTCTTAGTGAAAGATATCCTTAAAACACAGAAAGCTATGATATTAAGAACTCTTTAAAAATCTAAATAGTCAATAATCAATAGTCATTGTTATTTGTGTTAGAAATTCTAAGGATATATATTTGTGGTGAGACTAGCAAGTAACTAATTATTAACAATGTAAGTAAACTAAAGAAAAATCCTAAAACTCTTAATTTGCATTGGAAATACCAGTTTGAATGTATCTTGTATTTTTTTCTTTAAAATATATGCATATTTCCTAACCTTGTTTTAAGAGCAATAAAATTCAAGCTGCAAATTGGGAGAAAATATTAGAAGCCCACATAGCAACAACAGATGTTTATTCAACAACAACAAAAGTAAGGTATCGATCCAATTAAAACAAGTAAAAGACTGATGGACATTTTTCAAAGGAGATTACAAATGGTTAACAATCTATCAACATCCCAGACATTAGGGAAATTAAAATTAAAATGAAATATACTATATGTCCATTAAAATGGCTAAATCCCCCCACCCATCACAGCCCCACCTGCTGGTCATCAGACAAGTCTCCTGTGAGCAGGCCACTCCACCACCATCCCCAGTGGCATCAAAGGGACCTGGAGGCACAACCTACACCTACACCTACAACTATGGGAGGAAGAGATGAGTGGCTGCTCTCCCAGCTGGGCAGCCCTGCTTTCTAGGACCTAGGTCCCAAGGCACTTCCTGTGCTCCCCCCCCCACCCATCAAAGCCACAGTAGGGGGTCAGCAGGCTAGTCTCCTCTGACCAGGCTGTTCTAGTGGCTCAGAGGCCCCAGGAGGCACAGCCACCACCTGCACTGATTGGAGGAAGAGCCCCAACAGCCAGTCAGCAGGCACTCCACCACCAGCACCAGTGGCATCAGAGGCCCCCTGAAGGCACAGATATCACCTGCACTGATTAGAGGAAGAGCAGCCCCAGAGGCACAAGGACTACCTGCACCAACTGGAGAAAGAATCAACACCTGTACCTATAATTACTCCAAACCCAGATGGGAAGACAGCAGTTTAAGAATACATTCAACAACATAAATAGTAAAATGTCAACACCAGAGCCTAGTGGTTCTACAACATCAAGACCTGTACATCACAACACAGATGAAGCAGAAGAAAACGACCTTAAAAATACTTTATGAAGATGATAGAAGCCCTTAAAGAGGAAATGAAAACTTCCCTTAAAGAAATGGAGAAAAAGACAAACAAAAAATCGAAAGAAATCAATAAATCCCTTAAAGAAAGCCAAGAAAAAAAAAACAATCAAACAGGTGAAGGAAATAGTTCAACACTTGAAAACTGAAATAGAGGCAATAAAGAAAACACAAGCTGAGGGAATTCTGGAAATGGAAAATCTGGGTAAATGAACAGGAACTACAGATGCAAGCATAACCAACAGAATACAAGGGATGGAAGAGAGACTCTCAGCCATTGAAGATATGATAGAGGAAATAGATTTATCGGTCAAAGAAAATGTTAAATCCAACAAATTCTTAACACAAAACATCCAGGAAATCTGGGACACCATGAAAAGGCCAAACCTAAGAATAATAGGGATAGAAGTAGGAGAAGAATTCCTGCTCAAAGGCACAGAAAATATATTCAACAAAATCATAGAAGAAAACTTTCCAGATGTAAAGAAGAACATTACATGAAGGTACAAGAAGCTTACAGAACACCAAATAGACTGGACCAAAAAAAAGTCCCCTCGCCATATAATAATCAAAACACTAAGAGCTGCAAAGGAAAAGGCCAAGTAACATATAAAGGCAAACCTATCAGAATTACACCCGACTTCTCAATGGAGACTATGAAAACCAGAAACTCCTGGACAGCCACTAAGAGACCATGGATGCCAACCAGACTACTATATCCAGCAAAACTTTTAATCACCATAGATGGAGAAAACAAGATATTCCATGACAAAACCAGATTTAAACAATACTTATCAACAAACTCTCTCAATATGCTTGGGAAATGGAGGCAGGAGGATCAGGAGTTCAAGGTCATCCTTGGCTAAATAGTAAATTCCAACTGAGGCCAGACTGGGATACATAAGACCCTGTCTCATGGTAGGGAGTCAATTTCTTATCAAGTTAAATATACATACATCATATGACCAGTTGGGAATTTATATGAAATTCAAGTGTACCACCACTCATAAGAAATGACCATTTTGCTGCATTTTTTGAGACAGCATCTCTCTGCAGCCCTGGCTGTTTTTGAACTCACTAAGGCTGTCCTGAAACTCAGTATGTAGACCAGGCTGGCCTTAAATTCACAGAGAGTTGCCTGCTTCTACCTCTAAGTACAGGGATTAAAGGCATGTAAAAATGAATGTTCAACTTCACTAGGAAGTGCAGATTAAAACAACAAAAGTAGAGGTGGGATAGACTGGAGAGATGGGTATGTAGTTAAGAGTGCTTGCTGCTCTTCCAGAGGGCCCAAGTTTGGTTCCCAGAAGCCACAACAACTCACAATTCTCCTTTAACTCCAGCTCCCTCTTCTGATGCCCTCTTCTGCCTTCTAAAGACATTTGAACACACATGGCAAATACACTTGTACACACGTAAATAAATCAAAAACTAAAAATAAATCTTTATGACTACAAAGAATTGCAGTACATCTACTGACCAAATCTGTAAAATTTAAAAAGACTAAACAATATGAACATTTAGAAGTAAAAAATATAAATAAAAAATGCTGATGGAAATGAAAATTATCACTTTGCAGAGTCCACTAAAGCTCCCATATCAGTGCCATACAATCCAGCAATCATCCTGAAAGAAATGAACAAGAGAATCATAGCAAGAGCATTTGTAAAAGCCCCAAAGAAGCTGTCTATCAAGAGTAAAATATACAGAAGGATCTAGATACAGGACATATCCATACAATGGAACATTATCCACATGGACAAATCTCGAAAGCATAATGCAGAACTAAAAAAGTCACAAAACAAAAAGCACAGGACATTTCCACATACAAAAAGGTTCAAAACCAGGCCAAAGGTAAAAAGTAAATCTTATTTTTTTATATTGACAAAAGTCAAAATAGTGGTTACATTTGGAGAATGGCGTAAGGGTTAAAAGGGAAAAAAGAGCCATAGAGTTCCATACAAGATGCTCAGTTAAATTTGAATTCGAAACAAGTAATATTTTAGTTTAAATAGGTCCCAGGCAATATTCAGAACATTTATTTTTACCTGCTAAAAATGGCAACCATAGTCAAGGGGCTGCTTTGAGAGTAGGGGTAGTATTCCATTTCTTGGTGTTCATTTCACAACCATCCATTGTGCATTTTTCTGCACATGTGTTATATTTCCCAATAAAAAAGTTTTAAAAAAAGCAAAGTACACTCAGTACTATGTTGCTGATTTTAAAATATCTCATCCAAGCACTCTTTTTCCCTTCCCACCCTTAATCATTGCATGTGAGAGCTGAGATTCTTCTGCAGGCAGTGGGCAACAGTAATCAGCATAGCAGAGCCAAAAGCTGTAGGCTCTGCTTACATTTTTTATTAAAATTACTTTTGCACAGCATGCTTCTTTATTTCTGGAATCTTTTTTCATGCCCTCCTTCTTGGAGCCTTTCTTATTTGGCTGACTTAATCTTACCAAAGAGCAGTGCTATGCTTCAGAGGCCAGTCTCTAACTTACATCAGCCAAGAAATGAAAGGCACAAAGCAATGTTCGAAGTTGAACCGACTAACTGACGTGAGGGGTTAAAAATCAAACTCAGATGAAAAGTCTACAAATAATACTGGTACTCTAGGGCCAGCAACTCAGATACAAACACTGCTCAGAATTTGTAGTCAATTTGGTGCACTGAATGCTTTGTAAACTTTGATCAGAGGTTTACAAACACCTTGAGTGGCTCCATGTGAATTCCTTTTTATCATTTTTTAATACCTTCTCCTAAATGGCACTGGCAAACCCAAGTAAAGGGCAGTAACTTCTAGAGAACAAAAGCCTGACTAGTTTTCCTCCTGTTAGGTATATTGCTACATTGCTGAGTTCTTTAATGTTCTGGGGGGGGTTGTGATGTTTGGGGGGGGGGTTGTTTGTTTTGTTTTGTGTGTTTGTACTTTCATCTTGTACTCCAGGTTTAGGTACCTGTCTTCATAGTGTGGTACTAAACTTTATAGGCAAATAGAAGGCCTCCCTATCTGCCATGCCTCCTGCCGGATTTCCTCTATTTAATAACAAAATCTTTTTTTTTTCCACTCAGTGTACTAAAGATAATAATTAAATTCATGGGCTGTAAAGACTAGCTGCCTGAAAGAAAATCAGCATCACCACGAAGACCAGCTCTGGGCCTCAGTTTCTTCAACTGTAAATGGGAACAAAAATGGTTATCTAATTCAAACAGCTGTTGAGAATACCCAAGGCGATTAAAGCACATCACCGAACACACTTTAAACACTCCGTGGTTTTTATCATCACTACCACCAGCTACTTTGGACGGCCCTGCTACCTGTACTTAGATGTCACCTAAGGAAAACATTCAGATGCACTTTGAGAGGAAGTGAGGAGGGAGCACGAAGTTTGGTTTTAGGTGTACTCAGCGCACAGGAGGAAAGGGAAGAAACTAGCTCTCCCGTAAGATCTAGGGAGCTGAACACTCCCGGATCCTGTCTGAACCCCAGGATCTGGCCAGGACCTCGGGCGTCCTGCCTACTCACATTGCGGTTAAAGCTGTTGCCAGGCAGAAGTGGCAGAGCCATGCCTGTCAGCGTCCGATGAGGATCGAGGATCTGACCAGAGAAATCTGACCAGGCAAAGGCCTCAACGGCCGCTTGTTTGACCCCTGCGTTACCAGGAGACAGGAGGTAGCGTCACGGAGGGAGGAGGGGCTATGATTGGCGGGGTAGGGGGCTTTGGGCGGGGCTTAGGGCAGAGCCCAGGCCTGGGAAGGGGTGGGGCGAAGCAGAGGCCAGAGGCGGTGGCGAGGCCGAGACCAGAGGGCCCCTCCTGTCCCTGGTCTCCCTGCCCAACCCACCCGCACAAGCAGCCTAGTCCTGGCCTCACTGGTCCCCGCCCACACAGTGAACTGCTGGGTTTCCACCCACGTCGCTTTCGGCTTTCACTCCTTTTTCCTAGAGCTCAAATCCTCCCGTGACCTTCAGCTCACAAATTCTTGCCACAACATTGTTTGCCATTTTGTTATTAAATTTAATTAAAATGCCCAGAAAAGTGCAGAAATAAGACGGACGCCTAAGAGGTCACAGAGCTGTGTTGCAATTACACATTGTAATTAAAAATTTCAAGATGAATCTAAAATCACTCACAACCTACAGGGAAACCCATTCCAGCAGTAACCATGACCTTCAATCCTTCCTCTTGATCCTTTCATATATGAACTAAACATGGAAGATATAAGGTCCAATCAGAAGTGGCCAGAGCAGGGTCAGGTGGCATAAAATGAGACTCTAACCCAGCATGGTGTCGTGCACCTGTAATTCTAGTACTCAGGAGGCTAAGATAAAAGGATTACCTGAGTTCCAAGCCAACCTGGGCAACATTGTGAGATTATGTCCAAAGCCAAAAACAAGCAAACAAACACCAGACGCCTAGAACGAAAATCTACAGTTAATTGCCCACAGCTCTGCTGGCTGGACACCCTACTATATTTATTGCTCCCTCTGCTACTTCTGTTGAGACCTCTCCCCCCATTTACGGCTTGCCTTATTCTCTTCCTTAGAAGTGGCAGTGGGAATAACTGGTCATCTTACAGAGCCTTCATTTGTGAAATTCAAAACGCAGTTGTTACTCTCTTCTTCAGGAAGCTGATCTGCCTTCCCCTTCAGGCCATCAAACTCCTTAGCTAGGTCTAGAGCCTTTGTCAAATGGACTTTTGAACTGTTTCGTCTGCTGCTTCACCTCTCCCCTCCTCTGCCCCAGCTCCAAGAAACCTCTCTAGCTGTTTGCACCAGGCTCTCCTGGTGGAAATCACACTGTCTTCTTGAAACATGCCTTTCTTCCTATGCTTTATTGAGGTAACCCTTTCTTGTCTTCTGGGACTTGGTTTAGTGAGAGAGAGACAGGTTTTGCCACTGCAGGGAAATGATTGTTCTCTCAGGTCCCTTCCCACCCCTCCTCCATCTGCATTAAGCACAATACACACTAATTGCTGCCTTCCTCCTGCTGCATTGTAATCATGTGTTTGCTTGAATTTTCTTCAAATGCCTGAAAAAAAAATTCTTCAAAGACAGAGATTGTTCTTCCACAATCTCCGTCTTTATTTTCTGTGTTTACAGAGTTCACATTTTGACTTGCCTCCCACACAAGCTATTTGCCATGGGCATGCCCTCGAAGCCCTGAGTAAGCCACTGCTCTTTTTACCTATGGATTTTATATTTGAGATCTCTACATTTTCACAGGTCTATTAGACGGAGTTCATCCATCTAATGTGCACTCTGTGATTTGAACGTCAATTAGTTACCCATCTGGGGTCATCTACTGATGACAATTACTGTTTTCAATGTTTTACTAATCACCAACAATAAAGAAAGCAGTGAGTGACCTAAACCTCTTCTTTTTGTTTTGTTTGGGGTGTTTTCTTTTGAGACAGTCTCACCATGTAGCTCAGGCTGGGCTCAAACTGACAAACTGGTAGTTCTCCTGCCCCTTTCTGATGATTTTAAAAATACTTCCTTTTTGTTACTTTCTAAAGTGAACTAATTTCAAAGTACTAGAAAAGTTGCAACAATAGAAACTCAGCCTGGTGGCACAGGCCTGTGATGCCAGCTACTTGGGAGACTAAAGCAAGACAATCACAAGTTCAAGGGAGCTCAAGGTCAGTCTAGACTACTTATAGAGCCCTTAACTCAAAATAAAAGTAAAAATGTAAAAAAAAAAACCAATCAAACAAACAACAACAACAAAACAGGCTAGGGATGTGGTTCAATGGAGAGTGCTTGCCTAGAAAGCACAGGACCACCCATTAGAAAACAGTACAACTAACTCCCATTTACACTTCATCCAAATTCGACTGTTTTGTCTTAGTACATTGGTTTTACTATTCTCTCTATATTAGGACTTTGTTATTGTACAACAGCAGACATAACATGTCTTTGTCCCTGAATACTTCAGCATTACCTCCTAAAAACAATGATAGTCTCTTACTTAACTGAAGTACAGCTGAAAATCAGAAAATTAGTATGAATACCATTATCTTATCTAAAATTTAAATCTTGTCAACTCTCCCAATAATGCCCTTTTGTCCAGAATCTGATCCAATATCATATGTGGCTCTTAGTTTTCATGGCTTGCTGTTCTCCTTTAATCTGGAATAGCTCTTCCATCTTTTTTACCTGACCTGACCCGACATTGAGAGGATAAAGCTCAATGTCGGGGGAAATAAGTCCTCAAGTTTATGATAACTAATGTGTCCTTTGGGTTATAGCTTGGGACAGAAATGCCACAAAGAGGAAGACTATGTTCTCTTAGTTCAGCAAAGGAGCAAACACATGACACTGTAATCTTACCATGACTGGTGATGGTCACTTGGGATTAGATGCAGTGTACCAACTTTTTGTTCAATAGACAAGAAAACAGATATAGATATGCACAGAAAGAAATATGTCACAAGCTAGGAGTCTCCACCAATAATTCCACTTTCAATTAGCACAGTAGAATGCCTGCTCTTGTTTCCCCCTTTGCATATGTATATGTGTGTGGTATTTTCATACATGTTCACATATGTGTGGGTGCATGTGCACAAGTATGTAGAGGTGAGAAGTTCGTGTCTGTTTTCTTCCTGGATCATTCTCCACTTTATATTCTGAGCCAGAGTCTCTCACAAAAGTAAGAAATCACTGTTGGGGCTAGTCTAGCTAGCCACTTGCCCTGGGGATCCCATCTCTACCTCCTGAGGGTTATTGTTGTGGAATAATCTTTTTGTACTCTGTGAAGATGTGTCGCTCTGATTGGTTTAATAAAAAGCTGAATGGCCAATAGCTAGGCAGGATTTCCAGGCAGAGAGGACACTGGGAAGAAGAAGGGTGGAGACACCAGGAGACAGAGAGGACACAGAGTAAAGGTAAACAAGTCATGTAAAAGAACATAGATTAAAAGATACGGGTTAAGTTATAAGAGCTAGTTAGAAACAAGCCTAAGCTATCGACCAAGCTTTTATAATTAATAATAAGTCTCCATGTCCTTATTGGGTAGCTGACGGTCTGACAAAAAAAAGTCTTACTACAGGTTATGATTACAGGTTTCACAGGTTCTATCCAGCTTTTTACATGGGTATTGGAATCCAAACTTTAGTCCTTAGCCTTCTGTAGCAAGGATTTTATCTACTGAGCCATGTCCCCAGCTCTGGTGTTCCCCTTTCTGCATCTCAAACCTTAGAAACCCGGTTCAAATGAGCATCAAAACATTTACTTATTTGTCCAAAACAACACCACAAAAGCAATTTTAGGTCATCCAACTGGGCGATGAGTAGCTTTGTGGCAGAATACCTGCTTAGTGTACAGGGGGGCCTAAGCTTCTTCCTAGCCCCATGAGAGTAAAAAGCACCTAACAGGTCTGTGTAAAAATCAAACCTACCATGTGCTCCACTATTTGTTCACAGCACTTTCCTTTAGACTTAATGCTTACAGTCAAAATACCAAGCTCCAAACTTTCTTGGGTTTGTTTCCCTCTCTGTGTTTGTGGTACTTATATTATTCATTTGTAAGTCAGTTTGGTTCATTCATCTATTGATAGTCCACATTATTTATTCACTGTCTTATTGTATATAATTTGTATGTCTTATTTTGATCTGGTTAGTTTGGCAAATTATTTATTTATTCTTCTTTCATCAATTCAGCTCATTTTCTTTTCTACATCATTATTGCTTTTCTGCAACCACACTTATTATTTTATTACTTATGATTTCTTTGAGCACATTTGCTTTTGTGACTTTCAAAGTTAATACAATTTATGCATTTTATTTATGTTTATTTTAAACTACATATTTTCTTGCAATCTCTAAATGTATCCAATATTCTCTGATATCTAGTATTTTTATTTCTTTTTTTGCTATTTGTTTGTTTTGTTTTGTTTTTAACCTTAGTGTTGTTTAATACATTTTCAATTTCTAGTTGGAATGAATGTATGAAAAACTTCATATTTGGTTTTATTATAGCTTGATGGCATTGTGCTAAGAAAGGGGCTCGGAATCTTTCAAGTGGTATAGGACTTCCTGATGTTTTCTTTGGGATCTAATATTTGTGCAGTTGAGAAGGAAGGTCTCTAATGGGTTCTAAAGTTCAATGTGTCTAGTTATCATGTTACTCACTATTTCTGTATCATTACTGTGTCTGACACTTGATCTGCTTTGTGCTGAAAGGCTTCTACTAGCCTGTGTTTCCATCTGTATCTTCTTGGAACTGTAGCTATTGCTTTTAAAAGATGATTAGGGAGAGGGATGTGCATGAATACAACAGCTCTTGCTTAGAATGCATGAGGCCCAAGTTCCATACCCCCAAAATAAGTCAATGATGATTACTAAGTGGTATAGATTTTTATAACAATTACATTTACATTGTAAAATGGTTTTCATGGCTCAGCAGTTAAGAACACATACTACTCTTACAGAGAACTTGAGCTTAGTTCCCTACACTCATAGCCAGTGCCAGTGACTAATAACTGTCTGTAACTCAAGGTCCATGAGAACTATTTACTCTTTTAAGAGCCAAGATATATGATTGTGCCCCACTTTCCAAATGATATAATAATATGAAATTTCTTTTCTCTTACAGTACAAGGGATGGAACCCAAGACCTTGAAAGTGCTGGGCAAACATAACATACCACTGA